CTAATAAGTTGCATCTTAAATCCACAACAGTCTTTTAGTTTACTTTACTTGACAACAGAAAGCAATATTTACGTCTAAGCTTGTTTGCCAAGGACAACACAATAAAGTCCATGACACATGCTGTTCCTGTGTTGATTTAATGGATGAGGAAATATCCAAATGTGCTAACATCTGAATGCAGAATGGAGCTAGGGGTTTTCAGAAGCTCAAGTTAACAGCAACCTACAGTGAGGACGGAACCAGCAGTATTTGTCGCGGATAGGTCCAAATCCACAACCCCCACATGAGTTTCAAAGGTTTCAACAGTTTCTTAACACTACCGCAATAAATAATCCAAAAGTGCTATGCTGTTGTTCTCAAAGCAATCCAACTTTGAAGGTTAACTTAACTTCCCAAAAGGCCTTCAATCTGGAACCGAGTAACTTCTCTGGCTGTCCTTTTTGCATATTTCATGGACATCATTATTTATCCACGTTGTCCTTTCTCTGGCCAAGTTGTATCCGAGTCCAAACTGTGATGTTTGCAGCTGCACTTAATGGAGCTGGAGGCTGTCCTTGTGGACAGTGTGTGCATCCAAAAGAGACATTTTATAGCAAACTATTCCAATGAGAGATTAATAAACGGGTTATTGCTTTCCACAAAGTCGGTGTCGTGTTCACGGTGATTGGAGCTGCTACTTATTGAATTGGAGTGCTTCCTTTACCTTTCATTTAACAGCCTTGGTCCCTACAGGAGGGAAATTAAAACAAAGATTGCAGTTTGTAATTAAGTCTTATTGTTCCACCATCAACAACATTTTTAATACATGATATTGCAACATTAATATTCAGCTAAGGGCCATCCTAGATTCTTAGATGGGACAAGCAAATCTGAATGCTGCCTTACCCTATATGTACAGATAGTCTTCATTTTTCCAGGGGAGAACGGAACAGATCTATAACATGCTGATCACACACGGTTTTAGAAACTGACATGTTTTTCTCCGTGAAACAACATGCCAAGTTGCACCAGGAAGTGGAAACCGAGGTGATGAGTGATAGGAATTCCATTGGGGTATGTTTTGTTATTTTTGGAGCTTGTTGGTTCATGCCTGCCTCCTACATGACCATCACATACGTGTATTCCTTTAAGACATATCTCGAGTGTGAATATTTTAGGATGCATGCCGCACTTTCTAAAGGCTATTATATGTGACTCCTGCATTCCTTTTTTGGTCTTCATCTGTCAGTAGAACTAATGGATGTGCGTTTGGCCATAGTGACTGAATGACTCATAGTGTAAGCCGTCCAATAAGAAGCCTGTTCTCTCAGAGCTGGAGTAATTGACAGCAGCTCATCTATAAACAGAAACCTGTACTTGTGTTTACAGAAAGCTGAATCCAGGTCAAGTCATTATGGCTTCATCAATTAAAATAGCACCGTGTCTCACAGCTGCCATACCGCCTGTTCTTTACCTTCAAGACATGCTTTAAGTAAGGTTACAGGCCATGACTGGATGGGAAATGTGCTTGCTGATTTGCTTAGCTTCACTAATGTGACATACTTCTGAAATGGAGTACGCTGTGTCAATTAGAGAGAGGTAGGTATAAATAGTTGGGAGGTAGGTGATGAAGTGTTTTTCGCATGCAGAGTTGTAGAATATCTCCATCCGCACTCAATAACGGTAAAATAATAAAACACTCAATAATAAAACAGGAACTTAGTAACACTATCATACATTACATGAATATGCAGTGAGAAAAAAACCTCATGCAGAATTAGATATAGATACAAACTCTAAATTGGTATAAATCGACAAGCAGAATATACTAATAATTTATGAAAAGAAAGATAAATGAATAAAACTCAATCAAAGGCGGGTGGGCCTTCATTTGGTTATTTTAATCATCAACATTATCTTCTTAATGGACATTTGATCTCCATTCACCCCTTAAAAATAATAAATAATAACACAACTAGTCTTTGAGAAATAAAAACAAAAGTTGTTATCAACAACAGTCGTAGTTCTACATTGGGATCGGCCAACTAGTCGCTCCAAATCACTTTCGATATAGTCCATAGCAATCACCTCAGGAGCAGACCAAAAGGACACAAGTAAAAACACACATTCACTCTGTTGCTTTCACACTGTATCTTATCCCGCTGAAAAGCCGCTGTGTGACTCTGCCTTTAGCTTTTCCAACACAAATGAATCTTCCACACTCGCCCGATAGCTTATCATTTCCGAGAACACACATTGACTGTAGCAATTCATACACATCCACCCACACATGAAATCACACACACTCCCCCGCACACCAATCATGTCCAGCTCTCGTGTATTTAAAGTGGCAACCTGCTGTTTTGGTTGCTGCTGGTCTCCTGTGCCTGTCAGGGGCTACTGCTGCTGTTGTTTAATGAGCAGAGGCTCTCCTCAGACTTCTAGCTCTAAGCCTAGTCTGTTTTCTGTTGCTGTGTGTCTGCTGTTGCCGCGCTGACCAGAGGAGACACGCAGCTCTGTGTCCCAGGGCTAATTGCTGCTACTTGGCTGTCTTTCTGTGCTCGGCTCTCATTGACTCCCCGGACTCCAGGGGGATTCTCACAGGCACCCAAAGACAAACAAACCTGGGCGGACAATCGATAACGGATGCAAGAGTTACCGCTCAGTGTAGCCGCTGATTAAGATTCCGTGTGTGTGTGTGTGTGTGTGTGTGTGTGTGTGTGTGTGTGTGTCAGATGTTGTGTATGTGAAGGTGTTTGCTGATTGTCCCCACTCTTTCAGTGCTAACTGGAATCTTCAGCCAGTCCCTAAGTGCTTGTTTATGTGATTTTGATTAAGAGCAGTTCAGAGGCATCCTCAAAACAACAGCACATTAATGCTCCCAGGTAATTACTGCCTCATCCCAGGTTCACAACCGAGGGGCTGGAATCGTGTCTGCGCCTAAATGCGGTACCTGATCTACTGACAGTTTTAAAGACACACTGTATGTGTAGCATTTACACGTTTTTTATTGTTTTTATGATGTGTCCTTCTGTTTGTGATGAAATGTGTCACCTCAGGGCATACAAAAAAGCAAACAAAATATCATGTATCATCATCATCTCATCATCATGACAGAGTCATTATGGAAGGCTATTTATACTCGGCATTGAACATGGATGAACTAAAATACTAGTGTTAATTAGTGTCAACAATTCTACAATCAAACAATGTGTGTAAGATCGTTTTTGTACCCATATTTTGAAACAAAATGACAATGTCCTCGCCACATTGGAAAATTCTCCTCACATATATGTCCGTGATCTGTCCCTGTGTTCCATTGACTGCTGTAGGCTAGCGAGCGATGCCGTGCGTTAGTGTCATCTCGCCTCTCTTCACCCTCTTCACCCTCTCCAATCCCTCTGCTCTCCTTCTCTCTGGGCTCATGTTTGCTTTTGTTCTAGTCTCCAGCCCGCCTGACTCATAATGACGATCTTGACCAAGCGCAATGAAAGGTCAAGGTTGGCCCGAAAATTGCCTCAAAGCAATCAGCCTTGTCTCTCTGCGCTAACAGTGTGAGCTCTCTCCGTCTCTTTCGCCATCTTGCCATCTCTAAAAAAATGTTCTCTCTGTCCTTCCACTCTCTGTGTTTACCCGGGAGGTTGGGGAGAATTGACAGCAGAGAGTGGGGGGGGGGGATCTTTCCTGCTTTGAAGTCTCAGCTCTGACCGGCGGCTAGGCATAGGCTGGGGACTTGAAAGCAACAAGCACCACTGCCTGGTTGACATTTCAGCACAGACGTGTGTGTGTGTGTGTGTGTGTGTGTGTGTGTGTGTGTGTGTGTGTGTGTGGTGTGTGTGGTGTGTGGTGTGTGTTGTGTGTGTGTGTGTGTGTGTGTGTGTGTGTGTGTGTGTGTGTGTGTGTGTGTGTGTGTGTGTGTGTGTGTGTGTGTGTGTGTGTGTGTGTGTGTGTGTGTGTGTGTGTGTGTGTGTGTGTGTGTGGATAACAGAGTGTCTCCTTATGGCTTCAGCTGTCCTCAAGGACTGCTGGCTGCTGGGGGCTATTTGCCTCCACACCAAAGGGATTACCTTTCATTACATGAAAAACAGAATCTCCCATTCAACCTCTAACCCCTCTCTCAACAATAGTGCCTTTGGGATGCAGTGCCACAGCTGATACCCCTATTAGAAATACACCCTCAGTAGCCAGACAGACATTGCATGAGCCATAGCCAAATGGACATTTTCTATGATGTTTAGAACACACATAAGGCTCAAGGACAGCCTCCTTTGGGTCAGCTGTTCCTTCCAGCCCAGTGTGCTGGACTGGCTTTCCTCTGATGGCTTCACACACATGAAAGACTTCACTTTAATGTGTGACGCTGTACCCACACACTCAACCAAACAACATCAAAGCCTGCCTGTTAAATGGACGAATGTCTTAATCTACCGCCTGATTGCGTGTGTGTGTGTGTCTGTGTGTGTGTGTGTGTGTGTGTCTGTGTGTGTGTGTGTGTCTGTGTGTGTGTGTGTGTCTGTGTGTGTGTGTGTGCCTCCCTTTCTGTCTGTCCTGCGAATGGTGTAAACAGGTGTTAACATGTCAGCCCACAAGATGCCACATGCCGCTGTGTCATGATCTCCCGAACAGCTGTCCCCCCCGCTGTTGTGTGCGTGGGTGTTTCAGGGTGACTGTGTGTGAGTGTGTGTTTACTGTAAGGTTATACATGGCTGCAAGAGGAGCTTTAGCCCTAGATATTGTGCAAAGCCAAGGACAAACAAAGGGAAAGGTCAAATAATAAAAGGGAGCTTTATGGCAATAACTGATTTCCTTGAAAACTCTTGGAAATTTCACCCGGTGATATTTGATTTAGTTGGCAGGGAGAGAGACCAGCAAACACACAGTTCATCCCTGCTGCTAGCTAATGTCCCCATCAACAACCATGACGAATGCCCTTGAGCAAAGAATAAAAGCTCTCCTTTTGTCTGTCTCTCTGGATTAAAGTGTATAATGCCTGTAATGTGAATGTAAATCTCTGTCCTAAGGTGGAGATTGAGAAGCTGGACTACCACCACTACCTGCCTCTGTTCTTTGACGGCTTATGTGAGACGGTGCATCCCTACGAGTTCTTCGCCCGCCAGGGGGTCCATGACATGCTGGAGCACGGAGGCACCAAGATCCAGCCCGTCATCCCCCAGCTCATCATCCCCATAAAGAGTGAGTCTGCTCTCACCCTTTCTCACACAAAACACAGCTCCACTCCAGAGGAACCCAGTGTGTGTCTACTGTGGTACCCAGCCACTGAAAGGTGGTGATCTGAAAAAAAATACTGTTCAAATGCTCGCATAGTGTGAGCCTAAATGCAGCTTTGTGGGTATGCAATTTAAAATAATGTGTTTTAATAATATAATAAAACACACAGGAACATTACAAATCCAGCAACTATTCAATTAACTTACATTAGTTTGACTCTTGTTTAACCTTTAACTAAATATCATTCATATTCTATGAGTGGCTGACTGCCAAGTGATCTACCCAGTAAGAGTTAAATTCCAGCCTTAATAAATATGTATGTCAATATTTAATTTATGAGAGCATCATTACATTTTGATTACCGTTTGCTCAGACAAATCCCAAGTCTAGAAGATATTCTCCGTTTTTGTAATTGTAGCTAGCCTCAGCCTTCAACAAATCAGAAGGTAGTAACACACACAATTCAATAAAAGGACATTTATAGTTAGTGGGAAATATCAGGTCTCAGAAAGATAATCACCTTTAATTTCTCTCAAAATTGCCATAGCTTGAAAATACACGAGAATACATTAAAAAGAATAGTGTTATCAATGTCAAATGTAATGTTCTTTTTTAATATGTATTAATATCTAAGATGTTTTAACATATTCTCTAATAATGACATCTCTCTCACACCTGTCTCAAAATACTGCAGAAGCAATGGGGGGCAACTTTAATAGCAGTAGGTGCAACATGCTTTGCCTGATATAAACTCACCTGTCTTAAACCCTTGTGCTACAACAGATGCTAACATTACCAGTCCTGTGACAAGTCCTAATTTGGTTTCACAGTCATACGTTTCCTATTATTACATTAACCCTCAGGGCGAAGCGTCCTTGCATATTTGCATTCGCCTGAAGAGGTAGAGTCTAAAAGCATGCCCGATAATCTGCCGTGTGCAATGCAGTGACAAACCACATTTAACTGTGTCATCCTGGTGAGCCTTTCCACGCTGACGTCTTTTCCACACGCACACATTAGCAGATGGTGATGGGCGGAAAGGTCACGCCTGAGGTCAGAGCGGTCCATAAATACTGACATCAGAATTTACAGTGAGTGGGCGGTAAAGGGTTTCTGGTGTGGCGAACACAAGGTGCAAAGAAGTTAGAGGAATGCAGAGTGTGGCTTTTGTTTGAACATTTCTGCACACACACACCTACACACACACACTGTCTTTGTTTGGCGCCGCTGCCAAGCTGAGTGTCAGTTTCAAAGTGGGAGCCTTTAAGTGGCGCCCAGTGAGCCTGGGATAGTGTTCATGTCATGGGCAGTTGGCTGCCTGTGTGTAAGTGTATGTAAGTGTGTGTGTGTGTGTGTGTGTGTGTGTGTGTGTGTGTGTGTGTGTGTGTGTGTGTGTGTGTGTGTGTGGTGTGTGTGTGTGTGTGTGTGTGTGTGTGTGTGTGTGTGTGTGTGTGTGTGTGTGTGTTCTCTGTTTATGTGTGGGTGTTGGGACGTCTGTGGAGGCGGGGGGGGCGTGACGGCCAACACTAGGCACGGCTGTTGGAGACACAGAGACACGGTGACAGACTGACCCTGGCACAAAGTCTGTCACCACACTACACACTGCACTGAGCACACACTGCCAGGTCTCAACCATTACACACTGTGACATGCCTGGTTGTGTGTGTGAATTACATTTTCTGTAGTTTTTATCTCCAAAATGTTTTAGTTAAGTATAAACTGGTTGAATACATTTCATTCCATTATTTTAAAACCGTATCCAAGACAAATCGTTTTTTTAAAGGGCATGATTTGCCAGTATCTTCTATCAAGGATTTTTAAGAAACAATTTTTTAATGCTGAATTGTTTCTTAAAAACACTTTTTTTTATTGTCGTTATATATTTCTTTTTTATATTTCTATTTTTCTTATACCTACTTTGCAACTTGTTTTTTTAGATTGTTTATGTTCGCACCACCAGATTCCAAAGCAAATTCCTTGTATGTGTAAACGCACCTGGCAATACCCTTCCTCAAGAGGCTCCCACTCTACACCCAACTTGACATTATGCACAGAGTTGCCGTGACACTCGCTAACTTAGACAGAAGTTTATAAATTCAGACCCCTCAGCAGTTTTACTCATTTTCCTTTCGGAGGCCAGACCAAAGGTTATGGTTATGCTCCTCATGAAAACACATACTTTGCACTGATAATGGAATTTTAAATGGCCCTGCTCCTTATTAACTTCTTGGTTTATTAGAAATCAGGCCTGTTTCTCCATCTAAAAGGCAAAGCCGCCAGTCCGTGTCTCTGTTGCAGATTAATTACTTTGAATGGAGCAGGGAAAGAAGAGGGGATGGTGGAAAGAGGAAGAAAGTAAAAAGCCGTCTGCAGTCTAAAATGGCAAGATATATATTTTTCTCCCTCTGACGTTAATACATCTTCAATGTGGCTGGCAGGCTCTTATCTGCAGAGTCACGTCAGGCCCCGGTGAATTTTGATGATGACTGCAGGTCGCCCAATGAGAATACACAATGAAGGAGGCTCTGGCTGACATTATACTCTAAGGCCCTGCACTCAGTGACTTAGGTGAACACTTTCCTTCTGTAAACCCTGGTAACTTCTACCCTATGCATAAAAAAGGTGGGAAAAAAATAGTTGGATTTAATAAATATGTGCTTGATTTAAGATAAAGGAATACAATGAAAATTAATTTGATAAAACACTGAGATTTCTGTAAGGCATAAGAGGTCCTGATCCTGCTGAGCTAAACAGCACCATGACTAAAGAAGAAAGGGTAAATCGAACTGAAATGCTGTGGTTTGGGTTTTCCTTAAATAGGGAGGAGGATTCAGAGTCATGCCTCCATTGAGCCTCTCTTGATTGCCATAACATTTGTTCAGCTTTGGACAAAAATGAGACTTTCATTACAAGAAGATCCTCGGTTACGTCCCTGCACGGGAACGTCTTCTTCTGAGCTGGAAAGTATATTTATATTATGAGCGATAAAATGTCACCACTAAACCATCCACGACATCTCAAAGGAAACAGAGGTCACCACTGTTTTATTTTCCCACTGAATATGAAACAGGTCCGGGCATGAATAGATTATGACTTTATTCATATTTGTCCCAAACACCGGTTTTATACCAGCATTAATACATCAGGCTCTCGGCCGCTGTCACTCCCGCTTTCTTAATTTAATTTTTTTCCTTTCTCTTTTTTTTCCCTCCCCGGCAAGACGAGTGTCGATGAATAATTGAAACAGTCCCGCGGTCCAAATGTCACTGCAGGGAAATTGTTTGCGCTGGCTGGTAATTAGAATTTCATTGTTTGTTATGTAGGTTTGAAATTCCTGTTCATTCCACATTCCACCTTATCTCGGTGATGGCAGTTATCACCGCACTTGTCTATCTGGGGAGACACTACGGCAGAGATGGAGAGATGGCACGGAGCACAATACAATCGCTCATTCAGCATCATCTCCACTGCTCTGCATAGGACACACACACAGACACACACCCACACACCACATACCATGTATACATCACTTTAGGGGACATTACATTGACTTACATGCATTTCCTGGAGACTTATCCTAACCTTAACCATAACCAACACATGCCTAACCCTAACCCTTAACCTTACCCTAACCCTAATCCTAACCCTAACCAAGTCTTCACCCTAAAATTAATGATTCCCCTCATGGGGACCCTCCAATTTGTCCCCATAAGGGAGGCGAGTCCCCACACGTGACTGTGTAAACAGATGTAGGTCCCCACAAGTATAGTAATGCTAGGCCACACACACACACACACACACACACACACACACACACACACACACACACACCACACACACACACACACACACCACACACACACACACACACACACACACACACCACACACACACACACACAGACTGCCACTGACAGAGACAAAGACAAACTCTCAAATGGACACAGAACAATGGACCTGGTTCTAGTCATTTTCTTACATTCACATATACAAATGTTTCAATAATGCAATATGATGAGATTTGTAAGTGTTTTATCCCCTCAACCTCTCACCCACCTGTTGATTTGACATTTTATAGCTTTCCTTTCAGCACCAGTGCTCATGACTGAAGCTGACATTTCGTTTTTAACGTTTCAGTGTGCATGCCCGGATAGTTGCGTGTGTATCAGTGTGACTTATGTGTGCTTGTGAGAGCTTTGTATTTGCATATGAGCTGTTTTGACAAAGGCAGTGTGCACATGTTGCTGTAATCTGAGTGCTCTACTGTAGCACAAGGGTTTAGTTGTTGTTGTTGTCTTTCTCTCAGGCAGTCTTCTCTCATTCAGTCCGTGGTGCTGGGGGTAAAAGTCAGTATTGTTGAATCCGTAGTAACATGACTTGCTATGGAAGAGAAGGACACACTCCCTGTGGAAGATGGAGGACTGGCAGAAGAAGACTGTGCCTCTCTGTGAATTGATGTTGTTGACTGAACAGGCGCTGAACCAAATGAGTAGCGTTGCCTCCAAGTTGCTTGTAAAACACACACTTCATTGCACTTGTGGCAACGAGTGTTGTCATTATCAACATGACTGAAGAGTAAACACATTTCATCCCTTATGCTTTTTCAATTCGTGTTGAGCGGCCATTTGTTCTGTGAGAGTAACTGTGACCAGCCATCTTGAAAAGTCAGGTGTCAAAAGAGAAAAAATAAATCGAATGAAGGAGAGAGCTTTTATCTTTGCTTCAGGTATAAATCGGTATAAGAGGTACTTTATTGATTCCAAATTATGAAATGTTTGCGTTGCAGCAGCATAAAAAACAAAAACAAGGTATTGCACATAGATGAAAGAGTAGAAACAAACAATATTAGAATCTCAAAATAGAATTAAAACTTCATTAAAAAGTAGAGAATATACACTAGACTGTGAAGATACAAATCTATAAAGTCTGACAATAAAACACTATTGAAGGGTAAAACTATATTGTTGTCATATATCTGAAAAAATAAAATAAAAGCACTTTATTTAGCTTTTTGATTTCAGGCAATTAGTGTCTAGTTTTTCAGTTCTAGTGCTTTCTACAACAAATAGCTCTCTCCCTCTTTCTTCTTCTTCACTCCCACCTATTAACACACTCTTCTTCTTCTCTCTGTCAATCAGTGTCTCTGCTCATAATCTGTTTTCTTTGTTAGGAGTCTTTCTTCAGACATCTTGCTTATAATGTCTTTCAAATGTGTTTTTATTGTTGTTGCTTACTTGCACAAAAACCACACTGTGATGCCATTAGCATCTCCTTTTTGTGAAAGTAGGCATCAGATGACAGTTTCATGAAGATTAATAGCACAGGCCTGTTTTTTCCCACTTGGGTTATGCTGACAGTCTGCACAGGGGATTACCAGCACTCATGCAGAAGCTCACATCAAAAACCTTAAAAAAGCACAAATAAAACCAGCATAAAGAAGCAGACAATATGTCACTCTCACTTGCTAATCACAGTTATTTTCTAACCCTTTGCCCTACGCCTGTCACGTCTCTTCTTCTCTCCGTCTGACAATTTGTCTTCTGTTGTTTTCCTCCTTCTCTCCTTCTCTTTCTTGATCTCTCTAGCCCTCCATCTCTCACGCCCATCATTCCCTTTTGTTCTCTCTATCAGTGGGAGGACGGAGAGTTAAGTGCAGCTGTAGGCCAAATAGCCCCGTGATTGGCTCTCACTTACCTCTGCCTCCCTAGTGCATTTGAAATCACTGATTGCAGAGAAGCCATTCTAAATCAAAGTCCAGCTGTAAAGGAAATGCAAGGTAGAGGGAGTGAGTAGGGGTCAAGATGTATGTGTCATTTGGCTGTGTGTGTGTGTGTATGCTAAGCCCACTCCTTTGTACCATAGAATTGCAGTTGTCAGAATCGCTCCACATTTACTGTACCTGCTCCTGCCTGAACAAACAACCCATAAATCTGATATAAAAAGTGACAGATTGTTTCTCCTCGCAGCCTCCCTTTCTGCCCGCTTTCGCTGACCTTTGCCCCCTGTTCCCACGTCTAGATGCTCTGAACACGAGGAACCGACAGGTGATCTGCACCACCCTGAAAGGCCTGCAGCATCTGGTGATGTCCGGAGGCATGGTGGGGGAGGCTCTGGTGCCGTACTACAGACAGATCCTGCCCATTCTCAACATCTTCAAGAACATGAACAGTGAGTAACAAATGGCTGAGTGTTAATTCAGGGGCAGATGGTGTGTCAGCATGATGAGGGCTCTGCTCTTTTTGTGGGGCAGTGAGTGTGTGGTGGATGTGTAAGAACGCCCTTTGTGTTATAAATCATTTCTGGTGCTAGGACCGCTCCTACGTCAGTGAGTTGATTAACAGCAAACGATTACGAGCCTGTGAAAGGCAGTGATAAGTATCCATGTGCAGTGTTTAGCCTGTGGTTTGGTTAAAACAGCTGATTCCACAGAGTTGCTCAGTTTTGTGAAATGCTGTGCAGATGTCAAGTGTCTATTTTCTTTGACTGTGCATCTTTTGACATGCAGGCAGAAAGCAACTGGTTTTCTACCTTGTGTTTTCTCTGTGAAATCCAATGTATTCGCTTGTCCCTGAATCTTTTTGTTCCTTTTCCTCCCACCACTTTAACATCCACTTGACAGAGAAGCTCCATTTTGTCCTTTCTGCTGTCAGTCATGCTGAATTGTGCTGTGCTGTTGAGGAGGGGGACTTTGTCCTTGCTCTCCCTGAAAGCCTCTACCTGGGTGACACCAAGACCTGGGGAGATTGGCATCCGATAGGCAGGGCTCTTTGTGTGGCTGTGTCAAAGCATTTAGCATGGTGTGACATGATGTGGGACCATTGACGGCTTAGAGGCACAGCCAATGCCAAACGCTGCTCACCGCACAGTCAGTAGGATGTGGAGAGTGACATTGCGAATCAATCATTTAAACACAGGCTTTAACAGGAGAAAACACAAGGCTTTAGTCTCTTAATCAATATCCAATTTGAATCTCTTGTCTCTTTAATTCGCTTACATTATCTTTTACTATTTGCTGAGGTCTAAAATAAGAGATAGTGGAGGAAAGACAAAGGATGGCGAAGGAAAGCCTCCCTTATTAGCGCGTGGCCGTATGCAAATCTCCTCTGTAAATTAGCTGTCAAATCAATCCCCTAAACCGCTTTGAAGCGTGAGTTCCCCCGCCGCAGCGCACGCTCAGCAGTTGGCCGTTGAACCCCACCAGGAATAGTTTTATCTGCGCCTGGTAGTTACAGGGTCTGTCTACCTGCCTGCCTGCGTGTCTGTCCTTCTCTGGGCGAGCATCGATTAAACCCTGAGCCCACCCCTCACCTGGCAGACGGGCCTGCCATTGACCTCTCCCACAGAGACGAGAGTCAGCCAGATAGAGGCTAAATTGGCTAAACATAGCAAGCACTGCATAGGCATCCAGTAGAGTTTCTCACTTTTTAAAGTTTGCTTAGAGTTTGGGGCTGATTATTCAGAAAGTTTAACCAAAGTATACAAGTTAGTATATTTAAGTGAGAATATAAATGAGTTCATACATAGATAGATACACATATCTCCAGTGTTTTTCTCCCTTTTTCATCTAGATCACCACCCACTCCCTGCTAACTCACAAAGATACAACTTCAAATGCAGAGAATGTACGCTTTCTCTTTTGGGGACCAATTGCTCTGTGGATCAGAACTCTGTGTTCTTTTTCTCTGTAAAACGCAACATTTTTTAGGGTTGTTGTTCTCTAAAACTCTTCATCTCGCTGTGTGCGCCTTTGTCTTTGTCTTGTTTTATGTGGCTTGTTTATACCGATATCAAGGCTTTCATTGAAGTCCATCTATTATCTAATATCGCTTATATACACCTACAGTTCTAACCCACGTCAGAGGGCTGCCTGTAGCGGACAGCCACGATCATTGTGTTTCGTACACTGGAAGACTCAGAGGACTGTCTCGTAGTGTGTGGTAACGTCTCTGCTTGACTCTCCCACTCTGTGACTCCCAGAGCTTGCTTGGTATCCCTCTTTTCTCCTGAGCCACAAACAGGCCACTGTCCAGTATGTGCCAAGTGTGTGTGTCTGCATCTGTGTGCATCTGTCATGAATGGGTCTGTTGTGTCTCATTTGCAGCTGTTGACTTCAGTGTGTCTCCAGCTATGTCTCTGTTCACTGTTCTTTAGGTCTACCAGCCTCGGGCACACAATGCTCTACGAGATGTCTTTGACAAGCTCGCAGATATACGACACTGTGTGCGATATATAAAAAATCACACGCTGTCCTACGTAGCTACAAAACCTGACTTTGTCCCTGTCTGCCCAGTTGTTCTAACTGTAAATCAATAGGCGCACAGCCACTGCTGCACCCACAAGGCTACATTTAGATATCACCAGTATCTCATCATGGGACAGATCCCCTAGGCTGTGTTCACACACTCCGGCTGTGTCGCTCCCACTGTGAGACAGGGTTGTGACCTGTTATACAGGCCTTATCTGAGACATTTTACAGGGTCAGAGCCGGAGCTTTACAGCCATCTCCAAAATGGACCCTGGGGTGTCCTCTCACTCAGGCAGACTACTGGACCTTTGACTGGGAGAGCACACTGATGCCCCACACGCTCAGCCTCTCTGGGATCCAGGCCTCTGAAGACAGAGCAGCTCCATTGTTCAATGAGAAAAATGCTGCTGTTTAACTGCAGGCAGCCGACTGCCATTCTTACCTCTGACAACAGTAATGCGTCATTTTGAAGCACACAATAATGAGCAATCACAAAGTATCATCGTACTTGATGTACCCCTTTGTCTCGGGAATCAGCGCGCTCAGCTTTTGTTTGCTTTGTGCCTTTTGCATATCAGCTGTGTTTGTGTGTTTATGCGTGTGTGAGAGACAATGTTGAGGATGGTGTAGGAAATCTTCCAATGCGATTTGCACGGCTCTCTTGTTTGCTTGCTGTGATGAATCTTATCCCTAATGAAATGCAACAATGTTCGTTATGAACGAGAGATGTGCTCCCTCATCCAGCAAATTCCTCTTTTGAGCTCCAAAGGAAGAGAACTCAAATACAGTTCGTCATCTGAGGAGGAGAGAAAGGGTGTTTGTAGAGTTCTGTAAGGCAGCAGAGTAAACTACACAGAGAAAAAAACATTAAAGGGTCCTGAAGAGGGAGGGCCTCGTGGCCAATTCTCACCTTTATTACTGGAGGAGGCAATGGCCAGACATGACTGACCCACAGCACATATACATACAGTATGTGTTTCTTTCCACTATTACTTTACATATAGTCATCTTAATTGGTTCCACTTAGTGAGTATTTACACATTTTTTATTATTAAAAAGAAGTATTAAAAATGATATCAAGGCAAGGCAAGGCAAGGCAAGGCAAGGCAAGGCAAGGCAAGGCAAGGCAAGGCAAGGCAAGGCAAGGCAAGGCAAGGCAAGGCAAGGCAAGGCAAGGCAAGGCAAGGCAAGGCAAGGCAAGGCAAGGCAAGGCAAGGCAAGGCAAGGCAAGGCAAGGCAAGGCAAGGCAAGGCAAGGCAAGGCAAGGCAAGGCAAGGCAAGGCAAGGCAAGGCAAGGCAAGGCAAGGCAAGGCAAGGCAAGGCAAGGCAAGGCAAGGCAAGGCAAGGCAAGGCAAGGCAAGGCAAGGCAAGGCAAGGCAAGGCAAGGCAAGGCAAGGCAAGGCAAGCAGGCAAGGCAGGCCAAGGCAGGAGGCCCCAATGGCAAGGCAAGGCCAAGGCAGTTTATTTATATAGCACTTTTCAACACAAGGCAATTCAAAGTGCTTTACAAAAAATGAAAGAGATTAAGAAAATGGCAGTCTAATAAAATAAACATTAAAAGAAAAGGAAGACACAACACGATTAATTTGTACACACATTGTCTCTATTTGTATTTTTACTTAGTGAATAAGGGTTGCACACTGTCTTAATATTAACTTGGTAAACAAACTATTATGTGATGCCACTATATCCAGCAATCTTATTTTTTGTGTTCATATACAGTATATAAAGCATTATGACATTAAGACAAGATGTTTCTTTTGTAAGTAAATTAAGCTGTAATTGAAAAAAAATTATAATAACACAAATTAAACATGTATTGCTTCTTCCCATAACACATATACGATGATACAACCCAGTCTCACGGCATTTCGTGTTATAGTCACGAAATTAATTTAATCTATTGATTCGTGTTCACCAACACGATTTTCCCCTTTTTTTCGTATCACACAGAACGATTTTAAAAGCAATGTATTTTTATTGGTAGTATGTTTCGTGCCTGCAGCACGTCTTTTTGTCCGGTCGGGTCTTGGAAGACCGGAAGCTGTGTGGTTCATAAAAACATTTTCTTACTCAATATCTTACCCTAAGCCTAACCCTAACCCTTTTATTTGAAATATTATAATGTCAGAGTTTTTTTGCCGTCCGCGAGGAAAATAAATGGGGCAAAGAGCCTCAGAATACTGAAATCTGTATTTAAAAAAAAAAATGTTTTCCTTTATAATTTGTTATTATTTGGTGCAGGCACGAAACATACTACCAATATAAATATATTGCTTCTAAAATTGTTCTGTGTCAGAATACTGAAATCTGAATTATTATTTTTTTCTCTTTTTCCTTCAAATTTGTTATTATTTACATTGCTTTTAAAATCGTTCTGTGTGACACACAACAAATGTGAAAATTGTGTTGGTAATCAATAGATTCATTTTGTGACTATAACACGAAATTCCGTGAGACTGTGTTGGATGATACTATGTATTTATTTTTACCTAGAGATATTAATAAAATATTGGCCGATGATTCCAGCCTTTTGGTGTTCTATATGTTGAACATGTGGCATTTTTACCAGACTATAAATATAGTCTGAACTAGTCTTTTGACTATTAGTACACAGACTAGTACAGGCTGTGTGTACTGTAGCTTGAAGCACATCTCTCTGATAAATGGTTTGTTCCGGTGCATGTTTATTCATTCAGCTTCACTATTTCAAAGACTGCACCAGTAAAGCATAAATGGGCAAAGACTACATGCACAGATGTTTTTCATGACATCTTCAGCCTCTGAATATAGTTGATGTTTGCCTCGAGGCCTAGTCTGGTATTTATTGAGCCTGCATTGTAGCATTGTTGTTGTTGTCCTGATGATTTTCTCTGCTTATCTGTAAGGTGTAGGTGCTTAAACTCCTATTCATCACTGACAA